AATCTGATTTTCTTTTTTTTACTTTTTGTTTGCTTCTCTAATAGTTTTTACTAAATCAAAACTAAGAACTACTACTTTTTTGTATATTAATGTGTTGACCAAAAGCATGTAACTGGATGCAATTTTTTTCTCCAGAATTTCATAAAAATTAGATGGTATAGGATGAGCTTTGATGAATAAATCGAGTTAATCTTGTAATAATTAAATTTTCAGTTGGATTTAAAGTTACTCTCAATATGAAAGAACATTTTCTTCTTATTTAACGCCTTACAATCCTAATGAAAATTCAAAATCAGAGTTGGCAGTTCAGACCTTAAAGGAAACTAAAATTGGAATAGGCCAGGAATAAGCCTGCTCTGTGTATTTCTGTAATTAAATTGTAACAAAATACAGAGACATGGTGATTTTGAGTCAAAAAGTATTAGAATTTTGCAAAAGCATTGCCTTTATGAACATTGATTATTACTCTGTTCTTAAGCAGAGCTAATTTTATCTGTTACTAAATGATTTAGGAAAACAGAAAAACTCAGTTTTATTTACCCAACATACTGTAACTCAGGAGCCAGTAACTTATTTTTTCATGTGTCTGTCCTCTTCACGCATCTGACTTGTCATTCACTTGAAGTGACCGTTGTGGCCAGAAGAAGAACCACACAGATAACAAGCAACTTAGTCCATTCCCACCACCTTGTGTTGGTCTTTTAAGTTATATTTATTATTATTGCCTGGAGCCAGTTAAGAGAAGACGTATCTAAACAGATATTGTTTAGAAAACATTTGAATGTTTGAATTACTGTTCAAAACTTTTACAAAGTTCCTCAATATAATGACTAATGTTGGCAAGGTTTTTGTAGAGTTTCTAGTTCATACATCTATTGTAAGATTTCTTTTGTGAAGCACTTATTTCAATTAATAGTTGACTGATGAAGATAATGATGACAATAATGAGAAGTGCAAGTGCTCCAGATAAATGCAGTCATTAAGTGAGGTGGTAGCCAATTTTACTGCAGATCTAGGTTTTTGTGTCTAACACTATAGTGGCTAACCCTGTCTCATTCAGTGCAGCTGGGGATTACAAATTATGAGGGGTCCTTCAGAGAAAGGGCCACCCAGGGCCAACTTCCACCTCCCTCCTAATTTGTCAGGAGGGGTGAACAGTTTTCGTAAGATCCTTTACCTCCCAATGAACCTGCAGAGTAGGCGTCACACCATGGAGTCAGAGCTTTTAACTAATCATAATGAAACACAGAAGCAGATGTAACTCTTTGTTCTGCTGTGAAAGGTCAAGATGACTTGTTGCATTGGCAAAAGGGACATTGGGTTCTGATAAACGCCATAAATTACTCAAACCCCATAAAAGATGCAGAATATTGCATAAACTGTTGGTGATGAATTGGTTTTGATGTTTCTTTAACTTTTGAAGCACAGCAGCAGAATTTCACAAGCAATGTTATGATTATTGTCAATGCAGCAGCAGATGTTGAATCAATAACCAGTCTTAAACAACTGACAGATAAGTAGTTGATTGTTCTCTCAGGATACATGGGAAACCTGTGTGTACATGATTGCAACATGAAGGTAAACACGTGCTTGTTTTAAACATTGGAGCCAACTATTCTACGAGGATGACACAAAAATGTGGCTTTGAGTCTTTTTACTTGTGCGATATCGCTGCAGTAACTGCATTTTCTTTTTCATTTTCCAAACATTTCTTTGAATGATCTATGCTGTGTATTTTCTCTTAAAAACTTCCAATATATACAAAAAGCCTACTGGACTGATTTGGTTTTTCTGATATCTGCAAAAATGGAAGTGTAAATAGGGTAAGAGAAATCGGATGCTATCTATAATGAAAATACATGCTCTGACAGGCCGCTTGGGCTGAGTAAAACTAACTGTACATATTCTTTGAAGATGTAATCTGGAAGAAAGAGAGAGATGACAGGGCTTTACACACAGCACTAATGGCAAATTAAATTCCCCCCTCAGGAAGGATATTTGGCAGGGCAAGTGCTGTCTCTCCACTTTGAGGGGTAAAATGCATCCCTGTGTTGGAGGAGCGAATTGTGATGTGGAGAGGCATGCTTTTGGTGACATCAAATGACACCGGAAGGTCAGTGGCACTTGTATCTGTTAAATGGAATGGATTAAGTGGAGGCTGCCTCTTCCTTTCATAATGCAACTTGGTTTTTTTTGTTTTTTTTGTTTTGTTTTTTTTGCTTTCTGGGAGTTGCCAGAATTTGAGGTTCTGTTCTACTTCAGCATTACGCAGAGCGCCCGGAGTGGTGACAGGTGCAAGAAAATGTCTCATGGCATTAAGGGAATTGAAAAGACATTTACTTTACACAATCACTTCCCTTCCTGTCACTGCTTTTTGTTTAGTAGGTTTTAGCTCCTGCTTGCTACACTCCTGTTTTCCAGAGGCTGTTTTCAGGGAAGACATAAAACTTATGTTTGTTCCCAGCGATGGCTCTTCAGGCAGTGTGCAAAAAAAAAAGAAAAAAGAAGTCTCTGCCACACTTCGGAGCAAAGAACCCAGCACGTATGTGTGTAGAAATAAATGTCAGACTAACTGCAAACACAGAACCTGGGTCATATTAGACACAAACTGTAGTGTCACTTTAATGATGCTGAGCAGGGTTTTAAACATCTAACGCCGGCTGTGAGCGGCACTCTGTAACTCCAGGATAGGTTAAGCTTTGTCCTTTTCAAACTTGATGTAAAACACACATGATATGTTAAAGGAATGTGTGGTGGGGCGGTGGTCTCAGCCAATTAGGAGTTGTTCCTCAGAAGGTGCAGGAACGACCTTTTTATATAATTAGTTCTCTTATTTAAAGCAAAGATTTTGAGTAGAATAACTAATTAGGTGTCATAAAAGGCAAATTAAAGATTTTTGTGATCCTTGAGGGAATTGCAGCTACCAGTTTTTTTTCTTCTTGCTGAACACAAGCTGAATCAAACACACACACACACGCATGCACACAAGCTCTTCCTCATTAAGTCTGTTTTTAGTTCTGTAGAAGCTTGACAGGCGAGCGCTGTTGGCATACCTGCAGAGAGCTCCCCTAACAAGCCATGAAATACAGGTAGGAGAGTCCGTCCTTATCCAGTGTAGCTTGAATTTGAAGCTTTTTTAGCTTCATTTACTCTGAACATTGGTATTTATGGCAGGTTTTGTGATCCTAACGCAGCAGCTTTAAGGGGTTTGTTTTGGGGTGGCAGGAGGGGAGCTGAAGAGCAGACTGGACACTAATTGATGGCTCCCATCACTAGCTCAGGACCAATTAGCCTCTCCTTTCTACTTCTGATAAAGAAAAAGAACAGCTCAACACCAATCTATTCCTTTCTAACATTTTAAACCAGTGCCATAAATTTGACTAATAAGCTCTACATTGCAATTCACTTCTTATGTGAAAAGGGAGGTACCTAATTAATTTGCTTTTCCTGTAAAATTGATGTGAGAACAGGGAATAGCTGCAAATCTACATCCAATAATGCATTTTTTTTTGAGTCCATTTAAGTGTACGTACAAATGTGAAGGAGTAAGAAAAGCTAGCCAGAAATGGGATTTTCCCATTCCAAACAGGGTTTTGGGAAAAGCAGTGTAAGGTCGTTTTGAAAGAGAGCAAACTCAATAAACTTAGCTAAGAAAAAACTGCAAGGAGAGAGGCAGTCCATTCGTATCTGCCGAGGTTGTTTCTATCTTTCAACAAAGCAAATAGTAGGTCTAACTGCACAATACATGCCGTCACTGTTGCCATTTCTTTCCTGCCAAAGAGATGCAAATAAAAACTTTTATCTGGCCCTGCACAGACTAATAAGTCAGTAACATTTTATATAAACTTTGAATGACGTATAAAACAGGCCTCTGTAGCCACTCAAACGTACAAAATGTTAGCCTAACCCCCCGTCACGCAGATGTCCTGCCCTTTTTTTTCTTTTTTGGGTAGAGAGAGACAAATGTGTTTTGAAAGTAGAGTTGCAAGTGGCATCCACTGTGTGTTCTTTTAGACGGATCAATAGCTCAGTGTGTGAGAGAGTGTCTTAAGAGCTGTTGTCTTGTGCTTTCAGCTGTGGCAGACCTGTTAGTGCTACAGAGGGGAGCTACGCACCCCTGCCTCCGTACCAGCAGTGGCCTGAGGGGGGCTTTTAGTCCAAACACAAATGTCAGCCTCACATAGACTATTAGTGTTTAGTGCAGTTATTAAATGGACTTTATTTGTCCTTTAGGAGGCTAAAAGGCGCACTTAAAGGGGACCTGCGTGACAGCAGGGCAATTTGCGAGTTTGGTAACTTAGGCTCGCTCATTGCGGACACATGAGTACAGATAAGTGTAAAAGGAGGAAAGGCTGTTATGCTCAGAGCACAGAGAGGAGAGAGCATTGTGTGTTTGGGGTTTGTGTGTGTGTGTCCCTCTATGAAACACAGAGTGAGTGTATGCTAAAAGGCACTTAGGCCATAACATATCTCACTGGGGTCTGGTAGCAGCGTTTTTGTGGTCAGAGGCTTTTTAAAAGGTTAATGTTAATCTATACCAAACAAAGCCCAAGAGGAGCTTTTACAGCCATGGACAGTTGAGTGAAATGGGTTTTGATGAAATGGTAGGTAAGTAACATACTGCACATCTTGTTGTAAATACCACAGTAAGCTAAACAGGCGTTGTGTATTTTATTCACAGAAATCTGTCCCTCTTCCTCTGTGGCCCACAGCCAGTGATCGTGTAACTTTTGTATTACAGCGTGTTCGTAGTCGAACAAGTGAGTCAAGGCGTTGTAGTCCAATGTGACCTGGGTGCCTATCTACATGGAAGAGTGTTTTCTTTAATGCATATGAAGCAGGTAGGCAGTGTGCCGTGGCCATGTGCGAACACCAGGCTTAGACGCCTCGGGAAGCAGCTGGCTTATCAAAAAAAAAAAAAAAAAGAAGAGAACACGAAAAGTCACTCGTGTTCCCGGGCCGTAAATCACGCGTGGCTGTTTGTCTCCTTATCGCTACAGGTGTGCCGATGCTCTCTGTCCAGCCCAAAGGGAAGCAGAAGGGGTGTGCTGGCTGCAATCGCAAGATTAAAGACCGCTACCTGCTCAAGGCCTTGGACAAATACTGGCACGAAGACTGTCTCAAATGTGCCTGCTGCGACTGCCGCCTGGGGGAGGTGGGCTCCACCCTGTACACGAAAGCCAACCTCATCCTCTGTCGCAGGGACTACTTGAGGCAAGAAAGACACACAATCACTTTTCTCCACTCACAAAAATACAAAAGGCCGTGTCATTACAAGACTCTGACATGTTTAAGTCTTTTACAGCTTCAGAACTATGGTCTGCATTTAGTAAAAAGTGATATTGGTAATCTTATTCATTAGTTCTGTTGCAGCTCAGCCCCAAATTGTTCATACACCTGGAAGATTTGTATTTGAAGTGATCTTTCAATTTATCCTTCATGATTTATTACTTGAAGTTAAATTGAAGTTTTGGAGTGGGCAAGCGAGAGTCCTGACTTGAATTTGATAAAGAATAAATAAAAAAGTAGGTGTGATGGCAAAAAGACCTTCCAAACTCAAAGCTCACCAACAAATATAAATCAGAGTACCAGTGGAAATATGCAAAAAGCTGGTTATTCTTTATAAGAAGGGATTGATATATCAATACCCTATAATATCAATAAAGATTTTCCTATTTATTATTTACTTGCACTTTGCTTATATGCAAATGATAGCAGATCTTTTTTCTACACTAATATTCCTTTTTTATTGTTCTTTCCTACAAATAAGTTTCACTTTCTATCAAAAAAAGCTCTTGGGTGAATACATTGTTAAAATCCAAATCTCCTTGTAGCATTAGTAATTTTAGTCTTAACTGTGCAAGTTATCTGTGTTAACAGGCCATCATATCATTGATTGTGTTTCATTACCTATTTTTTTTACATATCTGTTTATAATGGAGATATATTTAGAGAATCAATAGGATTTGTATATGTTTATGCCACTCAGGAAATCCATTATTATAATTGAGAATTCTTAAAAATTATTAAATCTCTATTTATATATATGTCAATTATGTTGACATAATGAAGTTATTTTAAATGAAATAATGGTCAAATAAACATGGCAATGGAAAATAAATCACTTATTTTTCATTTCTGTCTTCCACCACTGACAGCTGCACTGTAAAAGCATCTCTTGTTTGGTGGGTATTGTTTTCATGTATGTCGTTGTTTACGTGAACATGAAGGACCTCTGTCATGAAAGCTCTCTGTGTTGTAGAGGCGCTGAAGGCTGAGAGAATCCTCCAGGCAGGCTTGTTGCTTCACTTCCCGCCCCCCCAAACACACATACACACTTCTGATGCCCCTGCCATCTGCTTGTTAAATTAAACATGACCATTTCCTGGGCGTTAGGTCACATTCCCCACCATTTATCTGAGAGGGAATCCCCCTGGGACCGACTTAGGGATGCCGGTGCCCTGTGCCCCCCTTTTTCCTCTCCTCCAAACATCCCTGGCCAGCATTGTCTTCCCCCTCTCTGTATTTTCCTTCTGTCTATTTGTGTCTGAGCTATCTGGTTGTTATCTTTGACTTGCTCCTGTTTCCTGGTTGGCTTTGGATCTACAACTAATTTGAGAGCCTGGATTATTAAGAAACTCAATGATTTCACATTCAAACCAAAATTCAGCCAGAGGCCTCGTCCGCTGTAATATTATTATTTGTACTTGTGGTTCTTATCCCCATAAAACAATTTTGAAAGCCATTTTTTGGGATATCCTTGTAGACACCAGAAAGTGTGGAAATCCCAGCAGCCTATTTCAAGCAAGACAACTATTCCTTTGTATGCATGACACACTAGGTACCATTGACTTGTTTTTACAGGTTATTTAAGCTCTGTAAAAGCCTGTAATAGGACTTGCACTAGCACCTTTGTCTCTTAACTTTACATACTTTGGTGATTCTGAGGATAATAGCAAATAGTTGCTATTTGCTCGTTCACAAGAGGAAATGTAAATGTACAGTTAGGACTATTTTTAAAAATTTGAGGTGAACAAAAATTCAAAACAGTAAAGTGGAAATGAGAATCTATGCAGAGAATGGTTAGCTAGTGTACAAGAGTAGCCAAAATGCCATTAGTTAAAGGTGGTACTTGGCCAGCCCACCGTGAAGTGTTTAAAACCAACTTCGTCATACAACAGAACAAAAAATGAAGAACTGCTTCCTTACTTCCTTCAAAAGAAAAAAAAAGTTTCAAAGGCAAAGCATTGAGCTTAAAGCCCTCATTTAGGGCTCACAAAACAATCTAAAAACAAGACCCAGATGCTTCACTTTGACCTGAAATATTACAACATTTTTATAGTTTTCTGATATTGTACTAAGAGGTTTTGTTGTAGCCGTTACTCATTGCTGTGTCAAAGTAACAAGAAAACAAACCACAGTCATTTCGGCAATCACTTGTAAAGCTTGGAATAATTTTTCTTTTGTATCATCTGTGGTTTTTGATGTTAAAGTGCAGCATTTTCAAAACTTTGGTCACATACGTATTCTGCTAAAAAATCTATTCTTACACTCGCTAGGCTTTATCAGTCATATTCCCATAAAACTGTGGTCAGCTCAATAACATATAAACACATAATGAGAGGAAAAAAAGGAATTCAGTAAATAAGTAAATCATTTACAAAGAAATATGCTGCCAGCCAATGACAGTCATGTGGTGATTTGATTAAAACTCCAAAAAGTCTCAAGTTTACAGTGATAACTTAAGGTCGTCATTTTAGCATTGTGTTTTAATGTACATATATGCAATTTCAGGCTAATGATTTTTGTTTTTTGCCCAGTTGGATCCTGGCAGGTATTGTTTCCAGGGCAAAATTTCTACAATTTTGGATTTCAGAATACAGCAAAATCTGACTAATTTTTGAATTAGGAATTGAACTTGCATGTCTTTAATGAAGAAATCAACCCTGCTAAAAACATAAGGGATTATATCAAATGAAATTCTGACTCCAGGAACTCTTAAGATCTTAGTCTGGTAGTTTGAATGACTTTTGTACAAATGTATCCACAATGTTAAGCAAGTTAGCTAGTTAGTTAGCCTGTTGCCTCTTTAAATATTCACACAATGGTCACCCTAAGAAATCTTGCATACCTTTCAGGTTTTTCCAAAGAAAACAATAATTCATAGATGCTTTTCAGAAAAAAATGCTCTTATACTTTTATATTGTATTATGATTTCAAGAGTGTGTTCATTGGACATAAAATAAAAACTTTTCTGTGAATATCACAAATCAAACTAGAAACAGTATGAATGGGAGGTAAAAGCCAACCTCATTTGAAGGTCTTGTATCTAGTGTAGTTTATTAAATAAAAGCCTTGTTCGCTATTAAAGAAAGACAGTAAGATTTTTCCCCATCTCACCCATGGTTTTCAGTGACATTTTACTTTCATCTTAGCTCTTTTTCTGACCTGGAAAGAGCTTGTGGCCCACTTGAGAGGCGCTCAGGGACGTTACGTTGATATAGGCCATTACCATCCATCAGTCCCCACCCACAGTTAATGCTTTTAAGATGCAGTGAGAGGTCCACTAAGACCTGATGTTGCCCCCAGAAGGGGCAGATGGCGCAGATGAGGTTGTAATAAATGGGGAAATGACCAAGAGTAGGCAAAAATGATGAAGCTCTTAGTTTCACTTAGTAAAATACATCAGCTGAAAGGACAGCAACCCCAACCCCGAAGCTGTAAGTGCCTAACTGGCATAGTGAAGGCAGAAGGAAAAGCTTTCTCGCACATTAGACTGGTAAGATGTAGAGGTCAGACAGAGGATGAAAAAAAGGAGAGTGACATGTGAAATGAAAAGTTAGAAACACTAAAATAAGAATAACATTGAAAGAAGGGAGAGAAAGAGAACTTCCTGTGTGCCTCTGCTGCCCCAGATTGTCTAATGAAATCCATCCAACTGGCCTGCTCTTCAGCCTGCGACAAATGCAGAACACTTAATGGCCGAGATGCTTCAGATGAATTCTATTATGAAGCAAATTAAAAACCTTACCTTGCGTAGAGAGAAGAGGCAGTTGGAGAGACCAGGGCATTTTGAAAGTAGGTGATGCGGAGTCCAGCTGGTGCCAGTTTCCTTTTCATTCCCTCTTTTCTGAGTAGAAGACCAAGTCTACCTACACCTGCAGTAATGAAGTTAAATCTGTGCTCTGAATTAGTCTCCCGCACTTCATTAAATACAAGCAGTGGATCAAACACGCTGGTTATTTCTAAGGGGTTGGAACCCTGCCATGCTCACATTAATTTTTATAGGAGCTCCATCTGTGATTGTCCTTCAGTGGCATTAGCAACTTAAATTCACTCACCCTCTCCTGAGTCTTTCTTTTCAGCATGCACAAAAGAAATGCCTGCACATCTTTCTGAAAGTGCTTGCAGCAACTACAAAGTTCAGTTCCAAACTACACATTCTTCACTCTGTCATTTCTACAAGTATTTTTATCCAGCTGGGCAAATTTCATACTCAGACACTAGAATAAGAAATTAATTAGGTCTTTGTCTTAGAGCAATATAGTTATTGTGTGATCATCAGGGTTTGAGGACTGATATAATTTAGTCTTTCATTTCACCTACTACAAATGACATAATAGTCATCAACTTATCAAAGTGGGTTATAATTAACTGTAAGAGGAAAATGTGCTTGAGATAATGAACATCATAAGCTAACTGCACACAGATGGGGCAGCAGGAGAAAGATGATAACAGTATATGGGTGTGGCTGTTGTACAAAACTTCTTACTACTTTAGGAAGTAAAACAGTAGCTCTTATTCTTTGGAGGTGATGCAGAACAGAAGACAAAAGTTTACACTTTAGAAATGATACAATTGTTGGGGAAGGTCAGAGCATGTGATGCATGCATTAACAGCTCTCCCTCTTATAAAATCTGACAAGCCCTGCACAGTCTGGGAAGTCTCAAAGAGCTCGGAGAACACATAGAAAACTTCAAGAGCTGCAGCCCAAACTGAAGGAAGCAACGCAGAGAGGCAGCAGATACATTGCAGGAGCTTTCAGGGTTTGAAGTTAGCAAAGCGGCAAGTTGAAAGAAACAAAGAAGGCACACTTTTCTCTGAAGACCTGTTGTAATAACTCAATACCAGGCAAAGGAGAGTTGCTTTATGGTGCTGCCATCCAACATCACAGTATTTCACAGCAGTACAGGGCTACATATTTAGTTACTTGA